ATGAAGCAAGAAAAAAAGCGATCACATTCTCGTTCCACTGTTTCAAAAATAAATAAATAAATGCCCGATAGCCGGCCATTCTCTGTTGTTTTTTTTTTTTTAGTAACATGGGAACTCAGTAGGACTTAAATATTAATGCAAAAGCAATTTATGTTATTAATTTACTCATGTCATCGTATGTTTTAAAAACAGTATTATTATATACAGAATAATAACAATGTTTAACAATTGAAAAGTATCCTTTTCTTCTTAGCAAAGTCTATCGTTTAACAAAAAAAGTTTTGGGAAAACACTTCTAATTATTACCGTTAATTATTACATTAATTTATTGATTACAGGTATATCTAGTAAAATACAATAAAATAGTGTTTAAAACAGATGTCTTATTTACAATCCTTTGGTTAAAATTGAATAAGTAGACCCGAAGGAGATACAAAGAACGATAAACAGTTCATGTACCGTTTACCATGGATTCTTTTATAGTTCTTTTGCAATTGATGTCACTAAAGTTTCGTCAATTTTCAACTTTATCCTCGCCCTTTTCCGTTAGTGATCTTGTATCCGCAGTTTTTGAATTGCTTGTGCCATCTGAAAACGAGTGTCCTGATGGCAGGATAATTTTCCTTTGTTTATTTAATCATTTTGTGTGTATCTGAATGATGAAAGTCAATCTGTTGGCAAAATTTAATTATCGCACATATTTTCAGTTTGTTAACGAATGTCATATTTCTATATCTAACGCTATGACCATAACTGTTCAAAACTTAATAATTAGACCATTTCATGTCCGAATGACGTCAAATTGGACATAATGTCACTTTAATATAATAAAAAATATTGATGGAATACAGGGAAAAACTACTTAGCTCCAATAACTATATTGATGTGCTGCGCCAGGTGCGTGTTACCATGGTTATTCAATAGCACAGGAAACACGCGTTTAGCACAATAGATTAAAAAAACTTATGTTTGAATTGTAGAAAACATTTAACAATCGCTGTAAATATGAAAATATTCTAAATTGTATGAAATTTGAATGCGCAAGACTCTCAGTCCTATTACTTTTTGAATAACCCTCGTACACATCATTTGGAACTGTTGTTTTCCCTTAGGAATAGCAACCGGAAATGTTTTTACACATGCACTATTTCAGATACAAATATAAGCTTTGTTTTATCAGTTTATGATTTAGATTTTATATCTGTTTTACTTTATAATTAACAGTATTATTTGTTTCTAGTCATGAAGAGTATTAATATTTAGGTGAGCAATGGCCCTCTTGTTCCCAGTTATTTTCCTTTTCATCTCTTTGAAAATAGAGCATTGTATGGTTAACCAATTCTGGCAAGTTGGATTTAACTTAAATTTCTCATAATAACTTCATTTATTTAATGACTTGCAAACTCAATAGTTTTCACAATTACAAAACGTTATGACTCTGTCAAGCTATATTACTGTGTAAACTAATCATACCCAGCACAACAAAGTTGTAAGGGGGTATACTGGAATCAGCTTGTCCGGCGTCCGGCTGTGCGTCCGTCTGTCCGTACGAGGTTAACCTAGAACGGCAAGTTGGATTTTTAGCTTTCACAAAGTGACAGGGTGAGCTTTTGTGATCGCTTTTCGTCCGGCGTCCGTCCGTCGTCCGTCCGTCGTCCGTAAATTTTACTTTAAATGACATCTCCTCATAAACCACAAAGCCAATTTCATCCAAACTTCACAGGAATGTTCCTTTGGTGGTCACCTTTAAATAGTGTTCAAAGAATTTAATTCCATGCAGAACTCTGGTTGCCATGGCAACCAAAAGAAAAAACTTTAAATATCTTCTTTTAAAAACCCCAAAGAGCTAGAGCTTAGATATTTGGCACGAAACGTCTTGTAGTGAGTGTCTACCAATTTTGTTCAAATAAAAGCCCTGGGACCAACATTGGCCCCGCCCGAGGGGGTCATTGATTTTCCCTATATGCATATAGTAAAAACTTAAAAAATCTTCTTTTAAAGAACCCAAAGAGCTAGAGCTAAGATATTTAGCATGAAACATCTTCTAATGGATGTCTACAAAGTTTGTTCAAATAAAAGCCCCTGGGGTCAAAATTTGCTCCGCCCCAGGGGGGTCATTGATTTTCCCTATATGCATATAGTAAAAACTTAAAAAATCTTCTTTTAAAGAACCCAAAGAGCTACAGCTAAGATATTTATCATGAAACATGTTCAAATGGATGTGTACAAAGTTTGTTCAAATAAGAGCCCTGGGTCAAAATTGGCCCCGCCCAGGGGTCATTGATTTTCCTTATATGTGTAGAGCAAAAACTTAAAAAATCTTCTTTGAAAAAAAAAAAACAAATAGCTAGAGTTTAGATACTAAGCATAAAATATCTTCTAGTTAGTGTCTTCAAAGTATGTTCAAATAAAAGCCCTGGGGTCAAAATTGGTCCCGTCCCAGTGGTCATTGATTTTCCTTATATGTGTATAGCAAAGACTTAAAAAATCTTCTTTGAAAAAACTCAAATACTTAGAGTTTGGATATAAAGCACAAAGTGTCTTCTAGTGAGTGTCTTCAAATTTTGTTCAAATAAAAGCCCTGGGGTCAAAATTGGCCCTGTCCTGGGGGACATTGATTTTCCTTATATGTGTATAGCACAATTTTAAAAAATCTTCTTTGAAAAAACCCAAAAAGCTAGAGTTTAGCTATTAAGCATGAAACTTTTTCTAGTAAGTGTCTACAAAGATTGTTCAAATAAAAGCCCTTGGGTCAAAACTGGCCCTGCCCCAGGTATGCGATTGTTTTTGAATGTATGTGTAAAGAAAAAAATTAAAAAAATCTTCTTTCAAAAAACCCAATGACCTAGACCTTAGATGTTTAGCATGAAACATCTTCTAATGGGTGACTACCAAAATAGATAAATACAGAATCCCTAAAGAAAGCCCAACACGGCAAAATTGAAAATGTTGCAGGCTCGGTTTGATTGAGCCTGTTCATGGACGGTACTGGAAAGTGCAAGTTACCGTCCACGCCCCCTAGCACCGGCTTAAGCAGAATTCAACATTTAAACGTGAAATAGTAAAATTTTGAATTTAGAAACATCCGCAGATGTGTTCATACGGCGGTTATCATGGAACCTTCAATGTGACACTTCCGTGCCATTCCATGAAAAGCGGCGTATGGTCCCCAAGTAATAAAAAGCGTGTGCCCTAAACGAGAAAACAATGGGCGGAACTAAATAAAATAGAATTTTGAAAGGGGATCAGAGGTTATGAAGCCTGCGTATCACAGATAAGACGTCAAAAGACAAATTTAAAAAGCAGGCAACATATCCTAAGGGTGATTCAACATTATTCAAGTATGAATATTGGAACCACCCAACTAGAAAATGCCGAAAAGTTGAAACTAAAAATACCACAAGCACAACAATAATGTCGTGCTGAACGATCTTCAAGGATCGAAAATATAACATCATTGATTAAATGTACGGGGAGACTTTTTACAGCCGCCACACGGCACAAATAACACGGATGTTACACGAACCAAGTTTGTTCAAATAAAAGCCCTTGTGTTTAAACTGGCCCCGCTCCGGGGCCTATATACAGGTGAGCGACTTCAGTGCCATCGTGGACCTCTTGTTCTTAAGTTCTACCTGTACCAATGGCTTCATAATTTACACACTTACTAATCCATACAAAGTATATGATCTGGGCAAGTTACATAACTATGGCTTCCATTTGCACCAAGTTATGGCCCTTTTCAGCACTTAGAAAATGGTTAACCTAAACCGGCAAGTTGGAAATATCTTATGTTCTATCTGAACTAATGGCTTAATAATTTTCACACTTACTTATCAATACAATTTACATGATATTGCCAAGTTATAAAAATGTGCCATCCATTTTCCCAGTAATTTCCCTTTTTATCACTTTGAAAATAGGGCCTCGTATGGTTAACCTTTTCGCCAAGTTGGATTTATCAAAAAAATTCACCTAATTACTTAATTTATTTAATGATATCTTTCATATTTGGTAGGTGGATACCTGTAACGGTCCTCTAATTTTTTGTGGCATTAGGCGTCTCTATGTCAAGGTCAAGGTCACTTGTGTAAAAAAATAAATTTAAACATTTCTGCTCATACAGCCTTTATTTTTAAGTTAATGTCTTTCATGTTTATAATAGTCATACCAAGGGAGGTCCTCTTCCTTTTCCTTTAGTAAGGGGTCATTTGGGTCAAGGTCACCAATGTCAAAAAAAGATTTTTTACACTTTTACATGTGTATTAACCTTATTCTATCGACAGATGTCTTGTATATTTTGTAGGAACATGAAATTGAGGTATTCTCATTTGGATGGAGGTAGGGGTCAGTTGGGTCAAGGTCACCAGGGCTAAAAATAGAGTTTTACACTTTTGCTCATACAGCCTTTATTTATTGACAAATTTGTATTATAATTGGTAGGAAGATAACTTACATGGTATTCTTCCTTTGGATGGAGTTAGGGGTCAGTTGGGTCAAGATTTTGCCCATACAGCCTTAATATGTTGACAGATTTATTTCATATTTGGTAGGAAAATAAGTTGCATGATATTCTTCCTTTAGATGGAGTTAGGGGTCAGTTGGGTCAAGGTCACCAGTGCTAAAAATAGATTTTTACACTTTTGCTCATACAGCCTTTATTTTAAATATTGTTGCTGACAAGAATCTGAGCCGGGGCATTTGTGTTTAACTAACACGTTCTTGTTCTAACAGTTTATCACGAGAGGGGCACCGGACAGGATGAATACAATCAACAGTACAAATGTAAATAAACATTTACAGTTTGAAGATTCCAGACTGTAACTTTGTCATGCATGGAAGGATTTTAAAATAACTTGGCAGAAATGTCTACCACATTAAGACGATGAGTTGTGGCAAAGGTTAGTGTCCGTCTGTGGGTCCTCACTTAACAATTTGGCATAAATGTCTTTTTCATGACAACATTCATGTCCCGGCTATAACTTTGTCATGCATTTTAAAATAACTTGGCACAAATATCTACCACATCAAGATGACATCATTCATGTAAGCTACATACATGCCAAGTTAAATGTCAAAGTAAAAAGTGTCCTGAACCTTTACCTGGCTCCCATATATCTAAGTAGCAATCCCAAGCCTCATCTTAATATAAGCTGCCCACACAGCAAGTGTGGTGTCAATAGGTCACAACAAACTATTTATTATGTGGAAACTGAATTTCTTTTTTAAGAAACAGTGACCATGACCTTGTTCAAAGACACCTGTGTAGCAATCCCAAGTTGCCTCTTGATATAAGCTACCCATACACCAAGTTTTGTGTCAATAGGCCAAAGCAAACTCAAGTTATTCAGGGCAAAACTGTATCTCCATTTTAGTAACAGTGACTTTGACCTTGACCACAGACACCTGGGTAGAAATCCCAAGCTGTGTCTTGATATAAGCTAAGCATACACCAAGTTTGGCGTCAATAAGCCTAAGCAAGCTAAAGTTATTGAGTGGAAACTAAATTTCTATTTTTAGTAACAGTGACCTTGACCACAGACACCTGGGTAACAATCCCGAGCTGCGTCTTGATATAAGCTACCCATACACCAAGTTTAGCGTCAATAGGCCTTAGCAAAATAAAAGTATTGAGCAGAAACTAAATTTCTATTTTTAGTAACAGTGACCTTGACCACAGACACCTGGGTAGCGATCCCAAGCTGCCTAAGCAAACGAAAGTTATTTAGTGGAAACTGAATTTCTTTTCTTTTATTTTTAGTAAAAGTGACCTTGACCTTGATCACAGACACCTGGGTAGTAATCCCAAGCTGCCTCTTGATATAAGCTACCCACACACCAAGTTTGTTGTCAATAGGCCAAAGCAAACAAAAGTAATTGAGCGGAAACCAAAGTTGATGCCTGACTGCCTGCCCGCCCACCCGCCTGCCTGCCCGCTGACTTCGGCATTACAATAACCCAGTTTTGTTGAAACCTGGTTAAAAATCTTGTTCATACTCTAGTGGCTACTGTTTTGATCCAAATATCCTAGAAATTGGTCTTAAAGTTTGTTTTGATGATTTCTAGGTCAAGTTTGAATATGGGTAACCTGGGGTCAAAAACTAGGTCACCCCACCTAAATAAACCTTGTTAACACTTTAGAGATCACATTTTTGACTCAACTGTCATGAACTTTTGTCAGGATGCTTGTCTAGGTAATTGCTCGAAAGAGTTTGATCATGGGTCATTTCAGATGAAAAACTAGGTCACAGGAGCTTAAAATAGAAAAATCTTGTTAACACTCTATTGACTACTGAATTGATCCAAATATCCTGGAAATTGGTCTGAAACTTTGTTTTGATGATTTCTAGGTCATGTTCAAATATGGGTCATGTGGGGTTAAAAACTTGGTCTCACTTTCCAAATATTGAAAAACCTTGTTAACACATTAGTGGTCACATTTTTATGCTCCCCGAAAAATTTCGGGGGAGCATACAGTCGCCGCCTTGTCCGTCTGTCTTTCCGTCCGTCCGTCCGGACAACAGGTATCAATATGGAACTTTGTAGGTAGACAGATCTCATTGAGTACGTGTGCAGTGCACAAGAACCGTAACTCTGCCTTGCCTAATTTTTTAATTATTCCCCTTTGTTTATTTTCACACTTTGAACTTTGTCCAGAACATAACTCTAAATCTATAAGAGGTATCAACATGAATCTTTGTAGGTAGATAGATATCATTAAGTAGGTTTGCAGTGCACAAGAACTGTAACAATGTTTTGCCTACTTTTGGAGTAATTGCCCTTTGTTCATTTTGACACTTTGAACATTGTCCGGGACATGACTCTAAAATTATAAGAGATATCAACATGAAACTTTATAGATAGATAGGTCTCATTGGGTAAAAGTACAGTGCTTAAGAATCATTACTCTGCCTTGCTTTATTTTGAAGTTATTGCCCTTTGTTTATTTTTACTTTTTGACTTTTGTCCGGGACATAACTTTAAAACAATTAGAGATATCAACATGAAACTTTGTAGGTAGCTAGATATCATTGGATAGAACTGCAATGCTTAAAGAACCTAAACAAAGCCTGGTCTAGTTTTGGAGTTATTGCCCTTTGTTCATTTTTACACTTTGAATTTTACCCGGGACATAACTCTGAAACTATAAGAGATATCATCAGGAAACTTTATAGATAGATAGATCTCATTGAATAGAAGTGCAGTGCAAAAAACATAACTCCGCCTTGCCTAATTTTGGAGTTTTTGCCCTTTGTTTATTTTTTAAGCTTTCCTATGTCCAGAACCTTCTCGGGGAGCATCATCCGGTTCAACCGGTTCTTGTTGACTCAATTGTCATCAAACTTGGTCAGGATGCTTGTCTATGTAATTGTTCGGATGAGATTAATGGGTCAGGTGAGCAATCTAGGGCCATCATGGCCCTCTTGTTATGTTTATTTGTTTGTTTCAGACTGTTAAAATGGAAAAGAATGAAGAAAAAAATAAATGCAGTTATCAAGTCACAACTCCTTATCCAATTCCTAAAAATTTCCAAATAACTTTTGGCTGTGGTGACAGGTAAGAAATAGTTTTGCTTGAAAAATTTAAAACTTACATGTATACATGTTGTGAATGAATTATTTTTGCTGGAAGGTTTAACTAAATTAATTATCCTTCTTCCATCAGATTTACTTTAAATAATCTTGAGTATGATTTCTTGTCTCAATAATAAGGTTTATTTCGTAAAAAAAAAACACAAGAAATTCTTTTGAAATATTATATGTTAAAATATTGTAAAACATTCATAATTCTAGCATGGACTTTTTTTTTAGATTTCAGACTGTTAAAATGGTTAAAATGGAAAAGAATGAAGAAAACAATACATGCAGATATCAAGTCACAACTCCTTATCCAATTCCTGAAAATTTCCAAATCACTTTTGGCTTTGATGACAGGTAAGAAATAGTTTTGCTTGAAAAATTTATAACTTACATGTATACATGTTGTGAATGAATTATTTTTGCCGGAAGGTTTAACTAAATTAATTATCCTTCTTCCATCAGATTTATTTTAAATAAGCTTGTGTATGATTTCTTGTCTCAATAAGGTGTTTTTTTTTTCGTTAAAAAAAACCAAGAAATTCTTTTGAAATATTATATATTAAAGTATTGTAAAACATCCATAATTCTAGCATGGACTTTTTAAGATCACCTGAGCTTGCTCAGGGTGAGCTTTTAGGATCGTTGTATGTCTGTCATCTGTCGTTCACATTTGTCAGGATGCTTATCTAGGTAATTGCTTGAATGAGTTCGAACTTGGGTCATCTCAGATGAAGAACTAGGTCACAGTTTTTATTATTTATTATTAATACATTTCTTTAATGAATTTATTGTAACTTGCATGTGATACAAAAATTTGCACCGAAATGTATCTTTCGAAATAGAACAATTTTCTGCTTCATGTAAAACTTCCCTTAGGCTGGGGACGTTGGTAACTGTAACAAATTCTTATTGATAATTGGAGAAAAAAAAGTGTTGTCGACAATGAAATAAATAGATCTCCTCTATTATGTAAACATTATTATTGATTACATTTTGTACTTAGAAATTTTGATTGGTTAAAACTATTTGCATTGTGTGTATATTACTCCGCTTATGCAGTGCTCTTGTTATACTATCAGATTTGTGTTATTTAGAATATGTATTCAATATATTTCAGGCATAACTTTGATGGAAGGCTTGGTCCAAATTACAAGTCAACATCAACAACTTTACCTAGGCAACCTGATCTGTATCAGCCTGGTCTATCTTCAGATGAAGGTCTAACTGCCAGAAGGATTGGGAAAAGTGGTTTTGGCCAGACTGTGCCTTGGCAATATGACCAAGAAACCAGTCAGTATGGTCAGCCTGGCACTTTGCATGGAAACTACCAACAAGAACAGCAAAGATCAAGTGGTCCAATCATTCCAAGTTTGCCACCACCATAACATTTTCAGAATTCAAGGTATTAGATTTTAATATTTCATTTACTCATTCTAAAATCCCAACACAGCTTATAAGAGACATAAGAAACATATTTTGTAAAATGTAAATCTTTTTACATTTATATATATATATATATATATATATATATATATATATATATATATATATATATATATATATATATATATATATATATATATATATATATATGTATATATATATATATATATATATATTTATATATGCGTATGCAAAAAAAAAGAATTTTACTGATCTCGTTGTATTGTAGTGTACATTTGTATAGTCAGATTTGGTTTAGTTTATTTGTGTTGTTTTTTTCCTCCATATTTAGAGTATTAAATTAAGTTTTAAAATTTTAAGTGAAAAGTTAAAAGATTGAGGGATATCAGTGCATCTGTCCATCCCAATTTCGCCCAGAGCAAAACTCCAAAGCACCTGAGCGATTTTCTTCAAACCTCATATGCTGACCAAGCACATGTGGAGTAAGTGCATTGTGTAAGAACAATAACTCTTCCTTGCTTTATTTTTTGTTTATTCCTCTTTATTAGATTTACTTGAAAACTTTTGTCTGCAGCATAACTCATAAAGTACTTGAGAGATTTTCTTCAAACTTTATACACTGACATAGAACATTGGTAGGAAGTGCAGTGTGCAAGAATTATAAAACTACTTTGACTACTTGTAGAGTTTTTCCCTTTTTATTGGATTTACTTGAAATACTTTGTCCGAAGCATAACTCATAAAGTACTTGAGAGATTTTCTTCAAACTTTATAGGTATGAAGTGCAGTGTGCAATAACAAATGATTAAAGTCATGTCCAGTTCATTTCATTTTGACATTCATTGACAGATTTTGTAATAACTTGGCTTTAAAAATGGTTCTTTAAAACAACTTGTGTTTAGTCTGTAACTCAGAAATCAAGGTCAGACTAGGAATTTTTGTGCTTCCACTTTTGGGGGAGGGCATTTAGATTTACCCTTGTCCATCAGTCTGTCCATACAAACCCAGAGGTACTTGTGTGACTTGGAGAACAATGGATAACAGTAAATTCTCTTTGATCCTATTCATTCCGTTTTAACTTGTGTCTTTTTTAAAGCCTAATGTGAAACTAAACATGGCTAAAAAGATCAAATGAAAAAAACATAAGTACCATTTTGCAAGTACGAAGTTGTGAACTCGTAAATATTTGTTTTGTTAAGGTGACAACTGAGTCAATTATCACTGAAAATACCTAAAATGAGATTTTTTTGCTTAGTAGATTTATCAACCTTTTCTGAACACATTCGTGATTTAATTTTGGAAGCAGTTAGTCCAAAAAATGTGTTTTTAAACGTTTTAAAACTGTACCTGTACCATTTTTATCTGCTATTCGCGTAACCTGTCAATTGTCGATAACGCTCCGCCCCCTGTTGAGGCATCAATGGGGGAAATCGGTAGTTTCATATATCCGTGAATTACCGGTCCATACTGGTCCATACTACTCGTAATTCATGTATCATACAAATACCGTACATCTTTTATGAATATCGTCTACCTTTTATTTGGCATTTTTTATAAAATAAGAAATTGTCGACCAATGTACGTTACATAATGTATAAAACATAAATAATTAAGCATAGCGGCAAATCGCACGACCACGGGGTTGATTAAAAATATAGTTGCTAAAATAACCATGTGTGAAAATAATTTGTCTGTCCCGTTAATCTGATAGATATAACATTGAGTTTATGGACTTTTGTACGGATTCAACGGCTTGCTTTACATTCAACCTCGTTTTTAACAATGTCAAGTGGAACAACAACAAAAACAGACAACATTTTTATGTGAACGCCTATAAGGTGTCCCTGACAAATTTCTAAACCATTTTAGATTGTTTAAGGGTGATTATTTTTTCTATGAATCAATAAAAAAGATATTAATATTTATTATCAGTGAATGCTTTGAATAAATTGTTCGCCAGTAAATCGAACACAGTTCTAATAAACCTGGGACAAAGTATGGAATTTATTGTATATCCCAGTAGAAACTGGATATCTATGCCGTGCATAGAAGATTTTCATGATAATAGAAGTCAAGAAGGTCAGATCATAATAATCGAGTGATACCTTTTATTTCTATTAAAATAATTATGTGAAGCATTTATATCAATTTGGAGAAAAAATATATAATATATCCCGTTCTTATTTGTACATCTACCATGGCCTTTAAAATACCGTCAGAAGCTCAGTTTTTTTTGTTATTTTAATTTATATTTTAACGGAATGTCATACGCGAATACACAGACAGAGTGACACTGGTATAATATAATAATAATGCTGATGATAATAATAATAATTAAACTTCAAAAGTGAAACAATTAAATACCCCGCTAGCGGTGCGCAAATACGTTCCATTTCCCCCCACCGAGTGCCTCAAATTTTACCGAAAGTCACGTGACATGTGCGACCGATACCAGACGGACAGTAAATCACGTTAAGATTTGAAGAAATTTCTGTTATAAACTGATATTAATCAGCCACTTTTTAATTGGTCAGATGTCACTGGGTTAGAGTATGTTACCGCAACCTGTGACCCTCTCTGGTGCGATATATTTGTGTATTATGCAATTATTAAGCGTGAAACGTAGAGGTCCGAGAGAGAACAGCCGATTTATGACATTTCGTTTGATGCGGGTCGGACTAACTTTGAATCGGCATAACTTTTTTAATAATCAAGGAATTAACATGCATTTTAAACCACATGAAAGGGAATTCATTTACGGAGGGAACCGTGTCAGGGATTTTTGTTTGCTCAATCAGCGACTTAATTAGCTTTAATTACGTAATATGTATGGTGAAAAAAGTCGCATAAATTGTTTGACGTTACGTAATATTTTTTTGAGAAAAGATAGAAAAAAATTGAGACACGGTTCCCCAGATATTATAAGTATGTTTACTTTCCAAAAGTTTGATAACAAAAAAAATAAAAAATGACTTTGATATGACGATTTAAAATTTTAGGATTTTTATTAAAAATCAATCATTTACAAAAGGCATTTTTTTTAAATATGTTATTTTTTTATGATGATCAGCGACATTTAATGCACAAAGATTAAATAAATAACAATTATTATTAAAATAAGTTGGTTAAAAAGACATTTATGTGAGTACCACGGAAAGTGTCTGTTGTCACCTTAAAGTTATTACCCTTGACTCACTAAATATTTGCAATTTTCAATATGTGTCACACATGTCTAAAAAAAGTATTTAACTTTGGTCATGAAACTTCACAGGAATGTTTATTAGCATATGAATTTGTGCACCTGGCCTGGGGTTTCACTTGTGAATTTATTTTGTTTTGTTAGAGTTATTGCCAGTGACTTAGTAAAAATTTGCAATTTTCAATTTGTGCGGTGTGTAGCTCAAAAATAATTTAACATAGATTCATGAAATTAAAGAAAAATGTTGGTCTGCATGCGAAGTTGTGCACCTTGGATTTCGCTTGTGGATTTATACACTATTCTAGAGATATTGCCCTTGAATTGTTAAAAACAGTTCCAGTATGTTGTGTTATTTGTTCGTCAAGTGCTTGAGTTAAAATCAACCAACTTTACAGGAATAATGATCAACATCACTGTGAAGCTATGCACCTGGGGTATGCATGTGGATATTTTTTTCATTTTTGTTAAAGTTATTGCACTTTACTTAGTATGAATTTGCAATTTTCAACTTGTTCATGCAAAAAAGTATTTGACCTGTAGGCCTGAAAGTTAACAAGAATGTTGGTCAGCATGTGAACTTTTGCACCTTGGGGTTTGCTTATGGATTTATTCAGTATTTATAAAGTTCTTGCCCTTAACTTAGTAAAATATTTTTAGTTTTAAACTTGTGGCACACAAAACCAAAAAAATTTGATCTAGAGTCATAACATTGACAAAACAGTGGAATGGGGGGGGGGGCACCCACGTCCTATGGACACATTTCTAGTTACATTTATAGTTTCATAAAAGTAAATGGATGGTTATTTCTAGTCATCAGTTCTGTTATCCATTAACAAATTTTGGATTAAATAGGCCCACTTCTGTAGCAAATAAGGAAAACACACTAGGTCGAAACCTTCTTGGTTTTAGCTCACCTGTCACAAAGTGACAGGGTGAGCTTTTGTGATCGCTTTTCGTCCGGCGTCCGTCCGTCGTCCGTCCGTCCGTAAACTTTTGCTTTAAATGACATCTCCTCATAAACCACTGAGCCAATTTCATCCAAACTTCACAGGAATGTTCCTTTGGTGGTCACCTTTAAAAATTGTTCAAAGAATTTGATTCCATCCAGAACTCTGGTTGCCATGGCAACCGAAAGAAAAAACTTAAAAAGTCTTGCATGAAACATCTTCTAATGATTGTCTACCAAGTTTGTTCAAATAAAAGCCCTGGGATGAAAATTGGCCCCACCCCAGGGGGTCATTGATTTTTCCTATATGCATATAGATAAAACTTAAAAAACTTCTTTTAAAGAACCCAAAGAGCTAGAGCTTAGATATTTAGCATGAAACATGTTCTAATGGGTGTCTACAAAGTTTGTTTAAATAAAAGCCCTGGGGTCAAAATTGGCCCCGCCCCGGGGGTCATTGATTTTCCTTAAGTGTGTATAGCAAAAACTTAAAAAAATCTTCTTTGAAAAAACCCAAATAGCTAGAGTTTAGATATTAAGCATGAAACATCTTCTAGTGAGTGTCTACAAAGTTTGTTCAAATAAAAGCCCTGGGGTCAAAATTGGCCCCGCCCCGGTGGTCATTGATTTTCCTAAATATGTGTATGACAAAAACTTAAAAATCTTCTTTGAAAAAAACCCAAATAGCTAGAGTTTAGATATTAAGCAAGAAACATCTTCTAGTAAGTGTCTACAAAGTTTGTTCAAATAAAAGCCCTGGGGTCAAAACTGGCCCCGCCTCAGAGGTGTCATTGTTTTTAACTGTATGTGTATAGTAAAAACTTAAAAAATCTTCTTTTAAAAACCCAATGAGCTAGAGGTTAGAGGTGTAGCATGAAACATCCTCTTGTGGGTATTTACCAAGTTTGTTCAAATAAAAGCCCTCGAGTTTAAACTGGCCCCGCTACGGGGGCCTATATACAGGTGAGCGACCTCAGGGCCATCATGGCCCTCTTGTTAATTCATTCAACATAGATGTATCACAACTTTCAGATAAAAATGTAAGACAAACTTCACCAATGGAAGATAAGTCATCTCAACCTCTGAGGCAGATACCGCAACACTCGGGGACTGCGAGCAGACCAGTTCCTGTAGACAGACAGCCGTCAACAGTTTTATCAGTGGATGCAAGAACTGAACCTGTAAAACATGTTTTAGCACCAAAGGTATGTCATACAAAGATAATAATTTATGGTAAAATAACAACTTAAAGAACATTGGCATCAAGTTGATAAATTCCAGTGTCTTGATGTCCAGATTAAATAAGATTAAAACAAGACTTACAATTGTGGACAGACATATACCCTTGAACAGTTGAAGTCATATTTAGGACAAGAATATCTTGTTTAGCTCACCTGAGCACAAGGTGTTCAGAGTTGAGCTGTGATGGAAGTGTGTCCATTGTCTTCTTTCTTTATACACAATTTCTTTAAACAACATATTCTCGTAGTTCTCTTGATGGATTTCGACCAAACTTTACAGGAATGTTACGTAGGTGTTCCTGTACAATGATATATAAACTGTTCCTGTCTGATGTATAATCTAGGTCACAGGGGCTAAAACAAATTCTACTCAGAAACTACAATGCCCAGAGCTTAGATATTTGGTTTGTAGCATTTTCAAGTGAATATCTACAAATTTAAAGCTCTGTTAAGTTTGGATGTTCCTGGGGAGCACTTAATTCTATAGTAATAATATCTTAAAAGACTTCTTCTCAGAAACTACAATACCTGAAGCTTAGATATTTGGCATGTAGCATCACCTTGTAGTCTTCTACAAAGGTTACATAAAATTTGCACCCTGGAATTAAAACTGGGCCTTCCCTGAGGGTCACCTTGTTTATATAGACTTGTATAGGAACATACATTTAAGTCTTCTTTTAAGTCTTTATTTGTGAAACTAGAATGCCAAGACCTTGGATATTTTGCATGTAGTATTCCTTTGGAGACCTCTAGAAAAAAATTTATGTCATGCTCCTATGGTCAAAAAATGGCACTGTTGGGGGGGGGGGTCACTTTCTGTACTACTGATTTGTTTAGTAAAAATGTCTCACTGAAATAACAATGCCCATAGCTTAGTTGTTTTCTACAAAAAATATATAAATCATGCCACTAGGGTGAAAATTGGCTCTGCCTTAGGGGTCACTTAGTTTATGTAGACTTGTACAGGAAAATACATTTATTTTTTTGTGAAACTACAATGCCAAGAGTTAGATATTTTGGCATTTAGAAAAAGTTATATACTACTAGTAAGTCATGTCCCTGGGGTCATGACTTGTCCACCCTGAGCCTGAGTTTCAATTATTTTAAACAGACATGTATATTTAAAATGTCTCAAAAATTTTGTCTGAAATTGCAATGCCCAGAGATATTTCACATGTTACATCACCTTGTCACCCTCTACATAAGTTATATAAATTATTGACCCTGCACCAGGAGTGTCTTTGTAAAATTTAAAATTTACTGATAACTGCAGTTAGTTAATAGCAATGAAAATGTCTTTATTTGCATGATGTAAATATACCAACCAAAAACAATTAATTTATATATTCTTACATAGGAAAAACACATCTGAGACTTATTGTGTGAAACTATGATGCCCAGAGCTTAAATATTTGGCATGTAACATCTAAAAAATTTACAAATTTTCTATAGTAAGAACACAGCTCTAAGAAACTACGCACCTTACGTATGTTTCTTGGTGTTTTCCAGTTTTGTACATCTGCAATTTTTCGGGGATCAGTTGCAATTCTTTTTGAACAGATTAAGTAATCAATAACCTAATTTGTTTTTTAAATAAAATACACTTTTCAGGAGTAAGTTTTAAATTTGCATTTTTCATGCGTGTGAATATAGCATCAAGATTAGATAGATGATCTTCAAATGTTTTAGAATAGCTTATTATATCATCAAGATATACTAAACATTGGTTCCAAGTAAAGCCTGCTAAGACTCTTTCTATTAGTCTCTCAAATGTTGCAGGGAAGTTACATAAACCAAATGGCATTATTGTAAATTGCCATTAATCTAAGCCTTGTACTGAGAATGCTGAATTATGTTTATCAGCTTTTGACATTCTGACCTGTCAAAATCCAGATTTGTAGTCAAGAGTACTAAACCAGACAGACCCAGATAAGGCATCTAAAGTATCATTAATTCTTGGTAATGGTTGACTATCTTTAACAGTACATTCATTTGATTAAAAATGCGCGAAAATTGCAACAAAATCTTATTGCACCATTTGGTTTTGTAACATTGACAACAGGACTACTCCAGGGACTTGTGGCCGCGAGGGCTCTATAATACCCATGTCAGCCATTTCTTTATTTTTTTCCCCTCTAGACGTTTTGCAAGGGGAACCCTATAAGGAGCTTGTTTTATTGGTCTAGCATTTCCTGTTTCTATTGTGTGCTCAACAATAGGTGTTCTTCCAATATCACCAGAATCTCGAGAGAACACATTTTGATGTTTAATCAAAAGATTCTTAACCTTTTCTGCCTCGGCATTTGTTAAATTTTCAACGGCCTTCTCTAAGACATCTTTTAAATGAATTGGTATCTTTGTATCATTACTCTCACAGACACCTACTGTTTCAACGTTAACAATATCTGGTTGCATCACAGCTTCATAAAATGCAGCCACAGTATTTTTATAAACTGTACAAGGCTCGGTATTTAAATTAACCATTCGTATTTGTATGATTGTTTATAATTAAACAAGAGCTTTTGCGACCAGTATTTAATTTTATTTAATATACGACAACTTGTAGCTGAAACATTTTCATCTCTATGAAAGCAAGAGACAAATATCTTCTACTTTAAGTATAATACTGTTTTTTGCATCATCAATCTTACATGAACTTTAAAGAAATCCATACCCAATATACCATCACTTTTTATATCTGCCAGGAAAATATTCTGTTCGAAACATTGTGAACCTATTTTAATCATTGACTTAATTTTACCATGAAAAGGAGCCGTTTCACCAGTGGCAGTAGTAAGCGTCATGTTAATTGGTATTATTTCCGGCTTCTTGTCCTCCGAAATTTTATCATACAAACTTTTACGGAGAATTGTAACATTAGATCCTGTATCAACTAACATAGAAACTTTAATATCATATAACTGAGCAGGCAAGAAAAATCCATCATCTTTCGTCAAATTTTGATTAGCATTTATTGTGTCTGATTTGGACCTCTGGCCGGGTTTCGAATTTCGGTCCTTAAACTCGAGCCGCGCCCGTTTCCCGAGTAGTTATTTTGCTTAAATGCTTGGACCTTGTCTGGGCCTTTATGAAATGATCTTCCTCGTCCTTGATAATTATGGGTCCTATCAACCCTGTTATCAAACCTATGCCCAATTTTGTTTGTTTCATTACCCCTATGAAATTGCTTTAGGTTGTTATTGTCATGAACCTGAGCTGTTAACATTTTCATTTGATAAGACAACTCATTTAATTTTCTGTCTGTTTGATTTACCTCAGGTGCAACATTTCTCAAATGATTCCTTACCACCCTGCTTTAATCAGCTTCCTTATGAGCATCTAACCTTACTGCAATTCGTTCTGCCTCATTTATAGACTTTGGGCCTACTTCCCTTAATCTCAATCGTATGTCAGAATCTGGTATAGCAACGACAAAATAATCTAATGCTAGAAATCAACGATTTCAGATGAAGCACTCGGATAAGCCTTTCTAGTTAACTTCCTAACAGACTGTGCTAACTCTGGTATTGTTTCATTTCTACCAAGTGTTCTACTTTGTATATGTGAGGGAAATATTTCTGCTTTGTGGACAGAACCATAATGCAGTACATATACAATAGAATCAAAATCACGTCTTTTCTTGTTATCTAGCTCACATACGATCACATGTGCACCCCCTACTATACTACTAGCAAGAAAAAGGGATTTAGTTGTATAACTCCAATTATTCAATTCAGCTACAATATTAAATTGAGCTAAATATTCATCTATATCATCAGACCCGTCGTATGTCTGTTTAGTTTATTATGTGTTACGTCACTACCCTGGTATGTTGACCATATGGTATCAATGCTACAAAATTTGTATAACTTATATATAATAGCTATGATAAGAAAATTATAATTGAACATTGAACATGAACTATTTATGTATATTTAAATGTTGACTGTTGAGTTATGTACACCTTTTCATGTTTACAATTTTTTTCAAGTGTAAAACTATTTTCATTTTAGGTTGTGCCACCAAGAATAGGTGCAACCTTTGGTAAGTATTCTAACTTTCTTAATAATCTCTTAATAAGTCTTATGGGCTAGTGAAACTTTACTCCAGAATAAATTTCAATTTTTTTTAGTTTTCTTCTTTGTTACTGTAAATAGTATATATATATATTTGAAAATTGTTTTTTTTCCCACTTTTCTTCTCTTGTAACAATATACTTAAGAAAATCTCTGTCATCACTCACATCATGTATGACATACATGTAGTTCATAAATCCAGCATCTTTATTTCAAGAGTAATCTTCTCTTTAGTTTAAGAAAATGTTATATTCTAGTAAATAAAGATTTGGCCTCTGTCAGTCCATCTGTCTGTCCATCCCTTAAGAAACTTTGAACAAACTTTGAACTGTTCCAACAAATGTACTGGAAGTAGAGATTAGAGTTGGAACATTAGTTACACAAATTCATCCTGAGAAAATTGGATCTTTTTTGATTATATGTTGTATAAAGATAATTTCCTTACTAGGTAGGGAAACTTCACACATAACAATGATACAGACAAACTAAGAACTCAAAAATTTATTCATGCAATCCACAATGGCATTTATGAATGCTTTTGTTTATAGTGCCTGCAGGAGCTGCAGATCCAGCTCCATACCACTTTTATTCAGATGATCAATTTGTGGACATTAATCAAAGGGGGGAAATCAAGATGTAAGTACATATTATTCAAATTTAAGCTTGATTTAATCAATAATTTTACTATCTTTCGTGTAATGGTCAAGGACCACTAACAGGACACTTTTTGAACATTTTTCCATACAGATTTCATAATTTTAAAGCTAGAGATCTGAAAATTTCTTATGGTACAACTAGGTTCTTCTCTTAACTTACAAACTAGTTTGTTCATTTCTGATTATATTGACACTTATAACTGAGGCCAGTCAAGGAGATTATCAAAAATAACCTAAATTGTCCACATTATAGTACCATGTGCCCGGACAGATATGTACATACATGATTTGATTTAATCCAGATAAAAGCTTGGGTGTTTTAATTTCTTACATGATGTTCAATATTAAAGTAGGAATATTTCTATTGTTATTTTTACAGTAACGATACCAACAGTGGTGAACAAATCTTAGTGGTATGGTTGCAGAATTTAGACAGAAAGCATACACAAGAGGAAAACAATAGAACAGGTCTAATTGGCTTATATAACAGCAATGGTTGAATAAATTATGATATTTTTTAGTAAAAAATAAATAGATTTTTTTAGATGTTGTTAGTGAAAATGGTATATGTCCAATTAGCCCCGCCCCGGGGGTCATAGGTTTCCTTATATGTATATAGTAAAAACTTAAAAAATCGTCTTCTCTAAATTGACAAAGGCTAGAGGATAGATATTTTGCATGAAACATTGTGTAATGAACCTGTTGCAAGATTGTACAAATTATAGCCCTGTGGTCAAAATTGGCCCTACCACGGGGGTCATTGATTTTCACTATATACATATAGTAAAAATTTAAAAATCTTCTTGTCTGAAGGTAAAGGCTTAGAGCTTTAATATTTGGTATATACAAAAAGTAATATCATCTATGGGTCCTCTACCAAAGTTGTTTAAATTATGCCCCTAGTGTTAAAATTGCCCTGCCCTAGAGGCAATAGTTTTCCTTATATATATAAAGTATAAACTTGAAAAATCTTCTTCTCTGAATTGACAAAGGCTAGAGGTTAAATATTTGGCATGAGACTTTTTGTAGTGAACCTCTCCCAAGATTATTCAAATTATAGCCCTGGGGTCAAAATTGTCCCCACCCCGGGGGTCATTGATTCTCACTATGCTTTTACAGTAAAAATTAAAAAATCTTCTTGTCTGAATGTACAAGGCATAGAGTTTTGATGTTTGCTATATAATATCATCTATAGGTCCTCTACAAAAGTTGTCACTGATGTAAAAATTGGCCCCGCCAAATGTTTTCTGAATTGGAGAAAGCAACAGCTTAAATACTTGACATGAAATGTTGTTTGGTGGACCTTTATCAAGATTGTTTTGAATTAAACCCTTTGGTCAAAATTTTGCTTTGCTTAAGAGGACAGTGACCTACTTTCTTGTCCTTTGATGTACAGCAATGAAATTTTGACCATGTGCACAGTTTTAGTTGTAAAATTGAATTTTGATATCAGGTGACATATATTTTGATGATGTGACCTACTGTCTTATCCTTTGATATACAGCTATGAAATTTGAACCATGTGCACAGATTAAGATGTAAAAGTGAACTTTGATATCAGCTGACCTAAATTTTGACAAAGTGTCTTACTGTGTCATTTTTTGATGTACAGTCATGAAATTTAGGCTTTCCCTTTCTTTAGGGATTCTGTATTTATCTATTTTGTGAAATATGACCTTCACCACCAAATTCACTAGACTCAACTGCATGGATATACTCCTACTCTGACATTTTATTTATATAACAACAGATTTAACCACTAATCTGATGATAAGAATTAGATAGGTCAGGGATCTATGCATTATGGCAATCTTCAATAGTATCAAAACAAAAAAAAATTGTTCTTACACTACTATTTACTGTTGTATTAATGCGGTGGCATTTTCACAAATGCAATCTTGTTTTATGTTTTTCTTATTTATTTATTTCAGATATTAAGGAGGTAGTCGGACAGGAAAATCGCTGTAGACGTTTTTTGGATGAGTTGGAGGCAGACATTAAATTAATAATTAATATACATATTAAAGAAAATCATGTTGTCAGAAAAGAAAATAAGTCAACATTTTACGATATTCTATCTGCGTATTTGGCTATAAAAACTACCCTTTTCTTTGGGCCAATAACATCAAGTGGTGATTGTTTCAGAATAGAATGGGACTTTAATTGGCCAGTTGGATTCGATTGTGAAGACACTTTATATTACTGCCGTGTAGTGCTGGACCAAAACGGTGTAATTAAAACGGCATATCCTATAAAATACAGTCAAATGTGTAATATGTGACCACGCAAGGGAAACATCAAAAATGGTCACTTAATGTTAAGACGACACTTTATATTACTGTCGTGTAGTGCTGGACCAAAATGGTGTAATTATAACGGCATATCCAATAAAATACAGTCAAATGTGTAATAAGTGACCACGCAAGGGAAACACCAAACATGGTCACTTAATGAAATGGTCATTTAAGACAACTCTTTATATTACTGCCATGTAGTGCTGGACCAAAACGGTGTTATTATAATGGCATATCCAATAAAATACATGCAGTCAAATGTGTAATAAGTGACCACGCAAGGGAAACTCCAAAAATGGTCACTTAATGAAATGTTCATTTAAGACAACCTGTAAGAAAAGGTTAGCCAAATTCAACAAGAAATGTACACGGAATCCGCCCAGAAAACACAAATTTTTCTATTGTTCCTGCTAGCAATAGGCAGACATGGAATTCTACAAAAAGATCCAACATAAGGCGTATTCTCCTTAAATCTGAACAGGAAAAAAATTCTGTTAACCTGAAAAAATATTTGCTGTTTATTCCTTAGGTGGAATAATGCGTTCACTAGACAGAAAATAGAACTTGCATTATTTTACTGCTAAATGCTTAAGGGTTTTTTTTTGACTTTGTTGATTTTTTTAAGTGGAAATTGTAAGTTAGACTTCTAAATGTTAAACGGAAATTAAAGTTAACATATATTTTTTTGCAAGGCAGAATTTTGTTGTTTATACATGTGGTCAGTCAAATAAATTTGTTTCTGGAATAACTTTAACAAATTTTATTTTAATCTCTTTATTATAACCTCAATAAAAAATGTAAGACTTCCATTCTGTCATATATCAGTGGTGTACAGCTGTCATAAATCAGTGGTGTACAGTTGTCATATATCAGTGGTGTACAGCTGTCATATGTCAGTGGTGTACAACTTTCATATATCAGTGGTGTATGACTGTCATATATCAGTGGTGTACAACTGTCTTATGTCAGTGGTGTACAATTGTCATATGTCAGTGGTGTACAACTGTCATTTGTCAGTGGTGTACAACTGTTTTATATCAGTGGTGTACATTTGTCAGTGGTGTACAAGAGTCATATATCAGTGGTGTACAACTGATATATATATATATAGGTGGCGTACAACTGTCACATGTCAGTGGCGCACAACTGTCATATATCAGTGGTGTAAAACTGTCATATGTCAGTGGTGTATGACTGTCATATATCAGTGGTATGACTGTCATATATCAGTGATATGACTGTCATTTATCTTTGGTGTACAACTGTCACATGTCAGTGGGGTACAAGAGTCATATATCAGTTGTGTCTGCCTGTCATATATCAGTGGTGCACAACTGTTATATATCAGTGGTGCACAACTGTCAAATGTCAGTGTTGGACAGCTGTCATTTGTCAGTGGTGTATGACAGTCATATATCAGTGGTGTATGACTCATTTATCAGAGATGTACAACTGTAATCTTTCAGTGGTGTATGACTGTTATATGTTAGTGGTGTATGACTGTCATATGTCAGTGGTGTACAACTGTCTTATGTCAGTGGTGTACAGCTGTCATATGCCAGGGGTGTACAAGTGTCATATATCTGTGGTGTCTGACTGTCAAATATCAGTGTTGGACAGCTGTCATTTGTCAGTGGTGTATGACAGTCATATATCAGTGGTGTATGACTCATTTATCAGAGATGTACAACTGTAATATTTCAGTGGTGTATGACTGTTATATGTCAGTGGTGTATGACTCATTTATCAGAGGTGTACAACTGTAATATTTCAGTGGTGTATGACTGTTATATGTCAGTGGTGTATGACTGTCATATGTTAGTGGTGTACAACTGTCTTATGTCAGTGGTGTACAGCTGTCATATGCCAGGGGTGTACAAGTGTCATATATCTGTGGTGTCTGACTGTCAAATATCAGTGTTGGACAGCTGTCATTTGTCAGTGGTGTATGACAGTCATATATCAGTGGTGTATGACTCATTTATCAGAGATGTACAACTGTAATATTTCAGTGGTGTATGACTGTTATATGTCAGTGGGTGTATGACTGTCATATGTTAGTGGTGTACAACTGTCTTATGTCAGTGGTGTACAGCAGTCATATGTCAGGGGTGTACAAGAGTCATATATCTGTGGTGTCTGACTGTCATATATCCGTGGTATTTGACTGTCATAATATTATATCAGTGGTATACAACTGTTATATATCAGTGGTGCACAACTGTTAAATATCAGTGTTGGACAGCTGTCATTTGTCAGTGGTGTATGACAGTCATAAATCAGTGGTGTATGACTCATTTATCAGAGATGTACAACTGTAATATTTCAGTGGTGTACAGCTGTCATATGTCAGTGGTGTACAACTGTCTTATGTCAGTGGTGTTTGACTGTCATATGTCAGTATATCAGTAGTAAAAAAAAAGATAAAATCAGAACCACCTGGGACAAGAGGATACATGTACACAACAGAACCATAAAGTTTCAGGTAAATAACTTTTAGTAACATAATTTTATGCAGAAACAGGTTATATGAAACAATCAAAATATATTTCAGTTGGTAAGCAAACTTAAAATTATAACTAGAGATCATTTTTGTTTTTATTATTTTGACTTTATACATGTATGTGATTAATTACAGATTTACTTTATTGATATACTGATCTAGATTTAAAAGTCAAATTTAATTGTTTGTTAGTTTATCAATACTGATTATCATCAGGTCTGAGACAGAATGATGCGGATTTTGATTCTTGCTAATTTTAAATATAATGAATAATAATATAAGCATGTCAGGGGATGTTTTTCATTTCTTACAAATTATAAAATGTGAAACAAACTTGGTAATCATTAATGTGTTGTTTTCAATGGTAAAAATCAGAAGTTACATTTAACATACAATGAATATATTATGATCCATATTTTTACATTATGAATGATTGTGATAGTTTACATCACAATCATTATTTTTAAAATAGATATGTCATATTTTATATCAAAATCTTTGTTTTTAAATGTAGATTTCAAATATAATAGTTTTATTTTGGTAACTTTAAAATAGTTACAATTTTACTTAAAAATAGTGTTTTTCACTTTAGTTTTATCTTATGTAAGCTGTCTTTAACAAAGACTTGTTAAAGTAACTTTATATCAAGCTTTACAGCCAAGCTACAATAAGTGACAATTAGCACTTAAACAAACAAGTCTTGATAAGCAGTCAGATTACTCCTTTCTTTTTCCATTCTTATCTAAATGCCTAAATATATGGTTAAACAAAAATAGTAACTTTTGCAGGAAATCATCCTAATGTTTCCTTCTTAGGACATTTTATACATTAATGTTTATTTGCATATGGTTTAACAGAGTTGAACAAAACTTCCAGCTTCAACTGTCCCTGGTATCATTCGAAAATTGGACATTGAAGAATTAAAACTGGATTTTTAATTTATAAAGTGTTAACTCTGTTATTCCAGGTATATATGTACTTTTACTATATTTCATAAGTCATTAAAGTTTATAAAATCTATTCTTAATATATTAATTGATATGATTTGTTTGGTACTATGTAATAGTAATATTATAATTATTTGAATTGTTAAAATGGTACCTCCTATGCAAAGTGAGTAATCTATAAAGCTAATTTCCCCATATTTGTTAATTAAAAGATCAAACTATTGTTAATTCAAAAATTGTATTCTTATAATGATTTATTTAATAATGTTGTAAAATGTTATTTATGTAATCATTCGAAAATTGGACGTTGAAGTAATAAACTGGATTTTTAATATATAATGTGTTAACTCTGTTATTCCAGGGTTTCGTCATAAAGGACTTAAACACAGTCTGTCCATGATTAATTAATAAAAAAAGGCCACTGTCGTGGGATCATAAAAAATACATTGCAGGCTGGGAACAGTGCAGTCATGGGTGTTTGATAATAATCAGTATATGGTACTACATGATAGAGTCTCAAGAAAAGGTATATTTTTAAATCTCTAAACTTAACTTTTCTACATCTGTCATAGAAAAAAATGCATTGAACATTTAAATATTGTCACAAATAGCGTGATTAATTTAATTTCTATACAAGGCAATTCTTAAATGTACAGTGGAATGAGACACTTGTTTTTTTTATATTTTTGCAAATTCAGTGTAAATAGTTAATACTATTGAAACACTTTGTGAGATAATAGGAAATACAATTGTTTTACATTAAAACATTATTTCCACATCTTTATAAATTAATTATGAATTTTATCAAAAATTCTTTAAAGGTGAATACAACCTCAACCCATTCTTCTAGGAAGGACAAACAAATGGAGTTGAAGCAGATTTCGTAAAGAAGTTGTTTAAATAATCAGAAACATTTGAAACAAATTTATGAGCTGAACAGTTTCTCTGTGACAGAGTCATCAACAATACAATAGTGAAAAATGAAGTGAACAATTCCAGAAAAAGCAGTACCTACAAAAACTCTTAGGATTTTAGGAATTAAACTTTTTGTGTAAAAATGAATGTAGGGTGTTGTATCCTGTATGTGGACTTAAATTTAGGTTACCATGTGTATAAAATTTTGCAAAAGAAAATAAAATGCGATTCATTCATATTTTTATCATAGCAACAATCCAGAAAAATGTGATAGAAATTTTAAGTGGAATTTGCACATTGAATTCTGCCTTGTTTCTGTGCGGAAAATGTCATAAAATATTTTTGTTTATTTGATGACATTTTGGAAAATACATAACACTTAAAATGGATGAGTAAAGATGATTTCTAATCACTTTACAAAGCATGAAATAATCAAAAAAAATATTGTTTTTTTTTGTTTTTGCAAGTAAGATTCAATTATGTTTGACATCTAGTGTTCACTGTGAATTATTTCAAAATATGTCTTACCTCTTATGTCACAGTGTATCATTTTCATTGTTTAAACTTATAAATCTGTGTATTAAAATATTTTTGAAAACTGAGTACACACATTATTCAGTTTATCAATTTAAATTATTGTTCACTTTTACTTATTTAGGTTAAAACATTTAAAGCATGTTCAACTGAATATTTTTAGCAAATTAAAATGGATTACCAGGTATAATTTTTAGCTCACCTGTCATTAAGTGACATGGTGAGCTTTTGTGATCGCTTTTTGTCCGGCATTGTCCATCCGTCCGTAAACTTTTACTTTAAACGACATCTCCTCATAAACAATTAACCCAGTTTCATCCAAACTTCACAGGAATGTTCCTTTGGTAGTCAACTTTAAAAATTGTTCAAAGAATTTAATTCCATACAGAACTCTGGTTGCCATGGCAACTGAAAGAAACAATATTGCATTTGTGAAAAATCGCATTAATACCACACTAAATAATTATGTAGGAACAGATTTTTTTTGTTTCTATACAATTGAAGATTGCCATAATGCATAGATCATTGACCTATCTAATTCTTATTATCAGATAAGTGGTATTCAAATAAAAGATCAGAGTAGGAATCAATCAATGCAATCGAGTCTAGTGAATTTGGTGGTGAAGGTCATATTTCACATGGCCAAAATTCAATGACTGTACATCAAAGGACAACACAGTAAGACACTTTGTCAAAATCTAGGCCAGCTGACATCAAAGTTCTTTACATCTTAACCTGTGCACATGGTTCAAACTTCATAGCTGCACATCAAAGGACATGAAAGTAGGTCCCATCATCAAAATATAGGCCACCTGATATCAAAGTTCAGTTTTGCAACTAAAACTGTGCACATAGTCCAAATTTCAAGGCTGTACATCCAAGGACAAGCAGGTAGGTCACTGTCCCCTTAGGTAAGGCAAAATTTTGACCAAGTGTTTAATTCAAACAATCTTGATACAGGTCAACCAAACAACGGTTTCATGTCAAATATCTAAGCTGTACATGTAGCTTTGTCAAATTCAGAAAACATTTGTTTTAGTTTCTGTTTTTACTATGTGTACATAATGAAAATCAATGCCCCCGGGCAGGGCCAATCTTGACACCAGGGGTAAAATTTAAACAACTTTGGTAGTGGACCTATATTGAATTTTGACACCAGGGCTATAATTTGATCTTGGAAAAGGTTCACTACAAAAGTCTTATGCAAAATATCTAACCCTCTAGCCTTTGACAATTCAGAGAAGATGGTTTTTTAAAGTTTTTACTATATACATATAAGGAAAACCTATGACCCTCGGGGCGGGGCTAATTTTGACACTGGAGGCACAATTTGAACAACTTTGGTAGTGTACCTCTAGATAATATCATTTACCAAATATCAAAGCTCTAAGCCTTGTACCTTCAAACAATAAGATTTTTAAATTTTTTACTATAAAATTATGTACATAGTGAAAATCAATGACCCCCGGAGCAGGGCCAATTTTGACCCCAGGGCTATAATTTGAACAATCTTGGTAGAGGTTCACTACACAATGTTTCATGCAAAATATCTAACCTCTAGCCTTTGTCAATTTCTAGAAGATGATTTTTTAAAGTTTTACTATATACATAAAACCTTCGAC